ACAATTCATGAGCAACAAAAGGCAACCTAAACTCAACCAATTATAACTTCACAACAAGAGTATGTAGAAATTCCTACAACATAAATCCATTCATATTCAAACTACAAACCCATATCACAACTTTCATTCCTACCGTTTCCATTCGGTCGGGCTTTTCTTTACTTATGGAGAAGAAAAAGAGATTGGAAGAGGTAGATGGCCGGTTGCAACAACATTTGGTTCTTCTTCTTGCTATTGTTTTAGGGTTTTTGATCATGGATCCTTTTGACATGAGTCCAGTTGGTGGACATGATTTTCGACCTGTGAAAAACGATATTGCACCATATGACCAAGTGATGGAGAGTTGGCCAGCAGATAATCTTAGCCGACTAGGGCTTGGGAACTTGGAGCATGTGGATAAAGTGTTTGGACCCGAGTCCTTGGAATTTGATCCATTGGGAAATGGACCCTATACTGGTATGGCTGATGGTCGGATTGTGAAGTGGGCTGGCGAAGGTCGAGGATGGGTAACATTTGCTCTTGTTTCGCGAGACTGGTAAGTTTTCAAATATTTTATTTACATATTAGATACACACACATACATACATGCATTGCATGCATATACACACACACACACACACATATCATGCTTAATTTGAAACGTCAAAAGGTCAGAAAAGTTATGCATGACCGGAAAAGACTCAACGACATACAAGCAATGGAAAATGGAGGCATTATGTGGACGACCACTAGGATTGAGGTTTGATAAAAGTAGCGGAAATTTATACATTGCTGATGCGTACTATGGGCTTATGGTGGTTGGTCCTGACGGTGGCCTAGCAACACCGCTATCCACCCATATGGGTGGAGAGCCGATACTCTTTGCAAATGACCTTGATATACATAGTAATGGATCTATCTTCTTCACAGACACCAGCCAGAAGTACAATAGAGTGTGAGTTCCATAACCCTTTAAAATTTGGTTTCTTTTAGGCTTTTTTGGTTCATTTTTTGGTCGAAATGCTTGATATACATTTGGTCTACATGGAAGACATGTGTTTTATCGAGTAACCGAGTATAAAATGTTAGATGATATTAATATATTCACATTTTTTTAGTTCATTTGTACATTATTCAATGATAACTTGGGTTTGTTTAGGAACCATTTCTTTATAATGTTGGAAGGGGAGGCAAGTGGAAGACTACTTAGATATGACCCTCCAACAAAGTCAACTCATATTGTATTAGATGGCTTGGCTTTCCCGAATGGGGTTCAATTGTCTAAGGACGAATCGTTTCTTTTGTTCACTGAGACTACAAACTGCAGGTACAAATTTGAATCTTATCAATTCTTTGAATTAAAACCTAAAATACTGATATTAAGAACTGTTTAATTAAGTATATGCAATGACAAGTACTTTGTTTTATTTTTTATTCAAGGCTTATGAAACTATGGTTAAAAGGTGAAAAGAAAGGCAAAGTCGAACTTGTGGCAAACTTACCTGGTTTCCCCGACAATATAAGAATAAACGAACAAGGCCAGTTTTGGGTAGCTATTGATTGTTGCAGGACAAAAGCTCAAGAAATCTTGACAAATAACCCGTGGATGAGGAGTGTATACTTTCGTTTGCCTTTTCAAATGCGTTATTTGGCTCGAATAATGGGAATGAAAATGTACTCAGTGATATCTCTTTTTGATGAACAAGGGAAGATCTTAGATGTTCTTGAAGACAAGGAAGGTGTAGTGATGAAACTGGTTAGTGAAGTTAGGGAAGCTAATGGGATGTTGTGGATTGGTACCGTTGCTCATAATCATATTGCAACTCTACCTTACCCTTGATGAGGGTTCATATAACTTGTTGATTGTAATAAGCCATTCAGATGTGTTTGTTGATTTGTTTCTGTCTTTTTTTCTAAATATTATGCATTTATAAGTTGAATAACTTAGAGATTGCAATTGAATGCAGAAACTGGGAAAACAAGAAAAAAAAAGTTTGAATGGAAATAAGAAAATACCGAAGAACCATCGATGATAATATTGCCAATCTATGAACACCAAAAAGAAAAAAAGGGTGTTCAAGCCGACAAGTTTGAGGTTATTTTGCTATTTAGTTATATTTGATTTATTCTAATGTAGATGTACATATGATCATATTGGGATCCAACAAAAACAAATTAAAATGACAAATGACAAACAATTTATGTAAAACACGTGGAATATATTTCTGAAAAACTGTAAAACTGAACATAGTATTTAACGTGGTTCAATTGATTTAACATACATCTATGGAGAGAGAGAGAGAGGATTGTATTAATCTTCAAAAAACAATTAAAATCACTCTTAAGAGGTTGCGGCTCACTTGAACTCTTAAACAAAAGGAATCTATCTTGCTAACAAACTGCTCCAAAAAAATATGCACTCCAACCCACAATGATTGCTCTTTTGAAATTTCCGCATGCTTCACACACACTATGTGCCATACACTTCACAAATGTTGATGAAGATAAGAGTGCCTAATTATAGGCAAGCATATGCATGCTCTAAGTCCGATGGGTCATGTCTACCCTTAATTAAGCCCTAAATGGGATCAGCCGCTTCTAGATTCTCCAACCTTAATTTGAGGGATGTACATGACCACTTGCCATGCATCTAGGAGCATGTTCTCAAGACCTAACAACACTTTTTTTTAGCTCCAACAATGTATTTTCCTGTTGTTGGAGTGCATGTAGCAGCTAGACAACGTCTTTACAAGTGCCCAACACTTCTATCAAATGACTAATCCATTTACTAAGTACTAAACGAATTCTCCAAGTGTCAAACGCATTCTGCAACCGTCCAATGCATTCTGATACCTGACAACGCAACATGATTCAGATGTTCGACAATGCTTTCTTATTCTCTCATAAATGGAGTATTCTCTCCCCGACCATTATGATAAAGACTTCATATCCCAACATTCTCTTACTTGAATATTTGAACAACTAAGTTTTTCCTCTCTCTCTCTCTCTCTCTCTCTCTTCTCTCTCTCTCTCTCTCTCTCTCTCTCTCTCTCTCTCTCTCTCTCTCAACTGTTTTATGGTGAACACCTTTGTATATTTATCTATTGAATTTATCGTACCAAGGACTTTCTTTAGCTTAAGAACACCATCATAAACTTTTTGGACAACTGCATCTCAAGCTCGTTGAACATGTCGGAACCAACAATCAATACGAAGATATCATGGAACTTTATATTACAAAACGTTCGCGATTGCGATGACTATTTTGTTATATATACCCTTTAAATATGATTTCCTCCTGACAAATGAAACGTGTAAGATATTTAAAAAGTTTTGTTTGATTTACGTGCTGATCCAATCCGATCAGCAAATGAAAAAATATCATTTTTTTTCTTCTTGTTTTAACACTTTTTCCGGCTCAAGTAACATTGACATACGGATAGTCAAAGAAAAAAGGATGACTATTTCGTTCTTTCAGACTATAAAACGGCAATTTCTTCCCTCTAAAACTCCCTCGGAGCAGGAAATCTCTCATCTTGGAACACTTCTTCCACTACATAATGTTCAGAAAGATCATTTCTTCCCCCTCAAAGTCAAAGTCAAGAAAAATCGTATCGATATCACTTCATTCCACCAACTATTGCTACCACGATCCCTCAGCACCACCTTCTTCACCATCAAAACACATTTCCCCCAGACAAAAATGGCTTGAAATCACCCCAACTTCGTTCAAGGGTTTCAATCGATCTTTTTCATCTGGGTATCAGTTAAATTCGACCCAATTTAGAGTGACTAATTTAAATAGAATTGGGTTTTCGGTATCGAGAAGGGGATTCAGTAGCGAAACAGTTCGTGATTGTATTAATTATGACGTGGTTATCATCGGAGGAGGTCCGGCCGGCTTATCCGCCGCGATAAGATTGAAGCAATTATGCCGTGAAAATGATGTAGACTTATCTGTGTGCGTTGTGGAGAAAGGGGCAGAAGTAGGTATGCTTGGTTTACCTTTTGCCTCTTTTAAATCACAGAGTTTACTTTTGCAATGCTCCAATTGTTATGCGAATCGTCAAATTTCTGATCATCATCTTTGAACAAAGATCATTAAATCGATAATTGCTTCTTCAAATCATAATCACAATCATAATCGTTTACAGGTGCACATATATTATCGGGAAATGTTTTTGAACCCCGTGCATTGAACGAACTCATCCCACAATGGAGAGACGAAGAGGTAACATTTTAATTTCTCAATTGCTTCTTCTATAACTACAATAATTACAAGATTTCATATGTGCTTTGTGTTAATTTCAACAAATAACTTTTATGTGGACATTTTTGTATATATTCAAACGCTTATACAGGCACCAATTAGTGTCAGTGTTTCTTCTGATAAATTCATGCTACTTACAGAAAAGCATGCAATCCCATTGCCAAATCCTTTCGATAACAAAGGAAACTATGTTATAAGGTAATTAAATACTTTCTTTTTTCACTAATTACCATTTTAACCTTGCTTAAATCTTACTAAACTGATATTTTTTGATTCAGTTTAAGCCAATTTGTACGTTGGTTAGGACAGAAAGCTGAAGAATTAGGAGTTGAAGTATACCCAGGTTTTGCAGCTAAAGAGGTAACTGTGTGTGTGTGTGTGTGTGTGTTTGTGTGTGTGTGTGGAATAACAAGCTTCATATTCATACAGATTTTATTTGATGAAAATGAAAATGTTATTGGAATTGCAACAAATGACATGGGAATTGGGAAAGATGGATCTAAAAAAGATAATTATCAGCCTGGTGTAGAATTAAAAGGTAGCATTTTTGTTTATGAATATGAGTAAATGACCATTTTACCCTTCTAACACTCTTTATTTTCAGGGCGTATAAATCTTTTTGCTGAAGGATGTCGAGGTGCACTATCAGAGGTTTAAATTTTAAAAAAATATATATTGATCCTCACTTCTACATTTAAAAAAATCCAACTTCTTTTTTATTTTTTTTAACCTGAATTTTTTTAACAGAAACTAATAAAGAAATACAATCTAAGAGAGAAAGGACATGGACAACATCAAACTTATGCATTAGGAATTAAAGAGGTAAGCTATGATTCTAGTCATAAACTCATAATTACCAATTTTATTCAGTTTAATTTATTTAAAAAGATTAATTAGTTTTTAAAAATGTTTAACAGGTTTGGGAAATTGATGCCAAAAAGCATAAACCTGGTGCTGTTGTTCATACTTTAGGTTGGCCTATGGATCACAAAACCTATGGAGGATCTTTTTTATATCATATGCAAGATAATCAAGTAAATAATTATAATTATAATAATAATAAAATCTCTTTCCATCATTTGGTATTATGATGAAAATTGACAAAAGGAATGGAATTGTTAATTCCATTCCTTTCATCTGTATGCAGGTTTCCATTGGATTAGTTTGTGCTTTGAATTACCACAACCCTTATTTCAGCCCTTATGATGAATTCCAGGTAACTTTTAAACTCACAACTTATTTTTTATTTTTTTATTTTTTGTAACACTTTTTTTTTATTTTTTTACAGAAACTTAAAGGTCATCCTGCAATCAGACCTCTTCTTGAAAATGGGACAGTTGTTCAATATGGGGCCCGGACTTTGAATGAAGGGGGTTTTCAGGTGCATATGATGATTTTAATTTAAAACTTTTATTGTTTATTTTTTGTTATATTGTTAATTATTATATATGATAAAGTGAATAAAAAAAATATAATTGATAATTCTAGTTAATTTTCAGTCTATTCCATATCCAGTTTTCCCTGGGGGAGCAGTTGTTGGATGTGCAGCTGGCTTCTTAAATGTTCCAAAAATAAAGGGTACACATACTGCCATGAAATCAGGTAAAAAAAAACTTTCTCAATGTAAGGGTAAAATGGTCATTTTACACATACAAAAGGGTAAAATGGTCATTTTACACATACAAGACTTAGTGGAGAAAAAAGAAATCAGGGAAATGAGGCTTTCCTTATTATGTCCTAACTTTTGACAAATTTGCCCTTTTTTTTTTTTTTTCTGTATCTTCATTTTCTCCAAGTATGCAGTCTTTTTCTGAAATATTTTATTTATTGATTTATTTTATAATAGGGATGTTAGCAGCAGAATCTGCCTTTGAAGTACTTAATAAGGGATCAAATATGAAAAATTATTGGGAAAGTTTAAAAAAGTCATGGATATGGGAAGAGCTTTATCAAGCACGCAACTATCGCCCTGTAAAATAAAACATTTATTTTATTATTTTCTTTTTCTTTTATTTCTTGAATTTACTCCCTTTTTTTTTATTTTCTAGTGAGTAATTGGCTTTATGTTTGCAGGCTTTTGAATATGGGCTTTTTCCTGGTTTAGCTATAAGTGGTCTAGAACAGTAAGATTTGAAATTTCCTTCCTTTAAAAAAAAAAAAAAAAAAAATTCTATACACATTAAAAACATGTGATGAAAATTTTAATGAAATTTCACTTGTTTATATTCGCATTTACAGCTATTTACTTAAAGGAAGAGCCCCATTTACCTTAAAGCATGGAAAACCAGATCATGAAGCAACACATGTAAGCTAAAGACTAAAGTGTTGTTTGGAATTGGATAAATGATTTTTTTTATAAGTATTTGAAAAAATAATTGTTCGAAAATAATATTTATTTATAAATAAATGGTTATGTACACAGGAAGCAAGTGTAAGCTCCCCGATTGAATACCCAAAGCCAGATGGGATTGTTAGTTTTGATGTGCCAACTTCTCTTTATAGGTAATTAAATATTAATCTTAAAAAAAAATTACATAAAATTTATATTATTACGATTCTTTGTATAAATTTATTTTGTTTAATAGGAGCAATACAAATCATAATCATGATCAACCAGCTCACCTTCGGTTGAGGGACCCACAAATTCCTCAAATTGTAAATTTGCCAAAATATGGAGCTCCGGAATCCCGATATTGCCCTGCTCGTGTATATGAGTAAGAACTAAAAAAAAATTTCTATTCATTTTTTAATTAATAAATAATCTCACTTTTGATTTTTCTTTTTAATATTTTTTTGTATAAATTCAGATATGTTGCGGATGACAAGGGTGAATTGAAGCTCCAGATTAATGCTCAGAATTGCTTGCACTGCAAGGTTTGACAAAAATTTTTTTTTTTTTTTAAATAACTTTTTTTTTGGGGA